ATTCAAGAGAGTTATCCCTGGAAATAGAGAGTTACATGGAAGAGAGGAGCACACCTCAAGACCCTGGTTGAGATGGCGTGGGAATGTGAGGGGAGTAGGGTTTCTTGCTTGCTTGTTTTTTAGAATTCCGCTAGAAGAGAAAAAACTTGCAGGCTCTGCAGTTTCGAAGTTAAATTGCCCCTAAGGCAAGTATTCTCTACCTATATACCTCACTTCTATCCGTCATGCTCTAAGTGTGAGCCCCTCTTCCCATGACTGCTGTACCTGTAGGAGAGTGTGCCTCAGATTTATAGAGGTGGGAGAAATATTTTTTAGCTACTGTTTTTGCTATGTCATTTTTTTGGGGGGTGAGGCAATGGGGCGAAGTGACTTGCCCAGGGCCGCACAGCTAGTAAGTGTCAAGTGTCTGAGGCCAGATTTGAACTCAGGTCTTCCTGAATCCAGGAAGCTCTATCCACTGCGCCATCTAACTGCCCCACTACATCATCTTAATAAATGCCTTTGCTAAGAGCTAACTGCATCTACTAGCATATTGATAAAGGAGAAGCACATCAGACGGGCTCATGAGCCCTAGTGCTAGAAGTATGTACCCACAAGAGAATCCTAGACACTGGGGGTAGCAGCAGCTTGACATACTTTCACATTTAATCTGTGTTATTAACATTTTCTCCATCACTTTCTTAAGTCTAGAGTATAGATAATCAACAAAACAATAAATTAAGTCCTAATTTGTAGCATTTGTTGGTTTCTGATGCTGATGCTGAAAATTTAACAACTGTCTCCCTGGTACAAGCTGGCTCCAGCACACTGTGGGTAGTAGCCACCCTCTGGAGACCCAAACTATGAATGCTGAGACAAGAAGGTAGGCCAGAAGGAAGGCTACCTGAATTTGCCTCAAGTACAGTTTCCTTCATTGTTCCTACTTAAGCCCTCTGGAACCCAATAGAATTTGTAGATCCCTGTCAAACAATAGGAGATGGTGATAGAGAAGGTGGAAGAGATTGTATTGGATACTAACTGAGACTGGAATGGTCCCCTAACAAATCCCTAATCTCAATTTATTTTTCTACATTATCATCATCACAGTTCTAGCATTTATATAGAATGCATACTAAATTCCAAGCACTGTGCTAAGCATTTTACAGATATTATCATTTGATTCTCACAACTGAGATAACAGTACTCAATTGAGAATCAAATGAGATATTTGCAAAATGCTTAGCACAGTGCCTAGCATGTAGCAACCTGAGAGGTACCTACTCTGAGAGGTAGGTACTATTGTTATCTCCATCTTAACGGTTGAGGAAGCTGAAGCAAACAGAAGTGATTTGCCCAGGGTTACACACTTAGTGAGTGTCTGAGGTCAAATACTCTGGTTTTTCTTGACTCCAGGCCCAGCTCTCTGCCATTGCACCACCTGGTTATCTAAAAAAATTGATAGTGGAAATTTACACTTAGGAAAGGATTCTTTCAGTGGTTTCTCATGAATCTAGGTTTTATTAGAACTCTTCTCAAAAATTGTCCCAAGATGATCAACTTTGTTTGACTTCCAGGTTGACTAGAAACTGTCCTAGAGAAGTATTGATTTATCAGGTTGCCTTAAGTATTCCTTGACAGTAGAGGACTGAACTCAGTGGGGACACAATAAAACACGAAATGACAGATTCTGAACTTTGGAACAAGCATAGGAATCCTGACTATACATGGAAGGAACGCTTACTCTAGTGTTCCTGATTGGTGCTCATCTAGTCTCAGCTTGAAGACCTCCCAGGGGAGGATTCCACTACCTCTCAAGACAATTTGAGAAGAGTTCTAATAAAACCTTGTCTCTCAAGACTTGAGACTAAACCTTATTTTCTGACACTGCTAGGAAAATTTTCCTTGATGTCAAGCCTAAAATTGCTTCTGCAATTTCCACCCTTTGCTCCTGGTTCTACTTCATGGGGGACAAAGAACAATTTGAATTATATGTCAATCCTTCAGATACTTCCAGACAATATCATAGTAGCCCCTGAGTCTTTTTTTCCCTAGGCTAAACATCCCCAGTTCTTTCAACTATTCTTCCAGTGCTTGGTAACTAAAGGGTAGCTAACACTGCTGAATTATCATGAAAAATCTCGGTACTGGAGAACCGGTAAAAAACACATGTCTCCTCTCAGCAGAGGGGTGGGGGATTATGAAGGTCGAAACCAGTCAAAAAGGATCTATG